TATAATTATTTACGAATGATATAATTTCAAAATGTGTACATATATAATATTTTTTTCCGTTATTCTTGTGTACATATATAATAATTTTTTCCGTTATTCATCGATGTGAAATATATCATTGGATGCTATAGCGAAAAAGTTATACATTGATGCAAACGAGATAATTTAATTGTAGAAATTACCTTTCTCCATCATTTTTTGAATATTTTAAATCATTAGTATCGCTAACGTTCGACAATTACGAGATTTCATATAAAATATGATCTTTTTATAGATTCCACGTGACTTAGCACCATGTGTCATTATGCAGATATCGCTCTCCGCTTTTACCTAATACTGTTATTTAACATCTTTCTGTTAACACATCACGTTTTGCACGTTCCTGATATAATGCGCGAATCTAGTATAAAAGATCCGGCAAACTGACATGGAATGCAGGATGCGGGAGAGAAATACGCATTGCGAAAAAAATAATATCTAGCCATATATTGGATTATATTCGCCGCCATTTGCAATTAATTTAATTAAAACAAACATTTTTATTTTCATTTTACACTTGCTGGGAACAAAAATACATTAGTATTGACATTTTCTAATTACATTTTTTTCGAACCAAGATCCGCAGCATTTGTATATCGGATATTCGTCAATCAGATTCATGTTTCAAATGTCTTATTTAGACATAACGACACAACGTACAATATGCGTTATAAATCTGCTTGATTTCAATATTTATACGCGCATCGCTTGTTTGTCAGGACGCTAAATCTCCGTCTCGATTAATTCCCGTCCACCCATCTCAGCCTACTCCGTTCTCCTCGGCTCTATGCTAATGCAAGCTGCAATTTGTATAATTTCGAAATGGGTTAAGCACGCGTCGGAGCATCCGAGGTCGATAACTTTTTCTGCTTCGCGATAGAACGTCGTTATCTGCACGTGCTCTTCCGCAACGGCGCTCATTTTAAAGCATAGTACTCACTTTACATTTTAATGTCTCCGGAGCCACGTCGACATCTCGAAACGCTACCAATTTCATGGACTTTTGGATTGTAAACTCGCCATCCGAGTAACCGTACCGTTAAGCAAAGTCTTTCCAATAAGTATCCATACTTCTTTCTATCATTTTCTTCTTATAAAAAAATCGAGATATAGTTGCAAATTTTGGAAATTCGGCTTTAACGTATAATCTTTCGTAATCACATTCGCGATGGTTGAACAACGTCAAATAGCATACCAATTTCAATCGGATAAATTTCAATGGTGAGTCACTTCGATCGTGAAGCATAACATTAACGGCATTAAACGCAGCTGCTGAAGCGTTAAGATGCCGACGATAATCGATGTAATTACATACAAACTGATTCAGTTATCCCTTCCAATACACGAAGTCGGACACGGCCGATAACTTCGGATCAATCTGTATATGCATAATGTCGAGAATGAAAAAATATTTCTATATCGTGCAGAATTTATTGTATATCTAGCGAATCATATTCTTAAAACAAACATTTGCCATTTTTTCCATTATGAAATAATATATAAAATAAAGTAAAAATTTAGAAAAATAAACGCTCCGGCCTTTATTCGTTATATTTCGTTGCAGAAAATGGCAAAATTAATTTTGAAAGAAAATTTACATCTCGTTTGTCTAATTTGATATGTCAATATAATTACTCGATATAATTTTTTACTATTTACTTTATAATTTTTTCAAGCTTTAACGAAATTACAATCCAATAGAGATATATTTAAAAATTTTATACTTTTACTTCAAACATCATCGTTTTTATCTATGTAAATTTTTCATCAAAATTGAATCACAGATCCTGTTAAACGTATTATCAATAAGAGAGTGTGTTACATTAACAACTATTTAGTTAGCGAGTCGTTACTTAACGAAGACGACAGCGGAAGACGACAAAGTGCACGTGTAATATTTCACAATGTCGTACTTGCGTGGTCTTCTTCATGCAAGAAGTTTTGGTCGACGAAAACCAACGGGAAACTGCGAGTACCATCAAGTATAATAATTATCACTGTTATAGCTCGTTTCTAGGCACATAAAAACTTTATGCATATGTGATAAATTTTGACTACGAGCGCTAATTATTAGTTAATTATACATAACAAATGGAACAGCGCTTTTATCACGATATTTCAATCAATTTTTTTCTCGACATCAAAATACTTCTTTAACATATGAATATTATTGTAATAATATTGTTGTATTTTGATTCTTTCAATATTTAATTGCGGCATTTAATTTTAAATAAATTAAAAACTATTTTTAAAATTAACAATCAAATTATAAAATATCCAAAAAAGTAAAAATTAATTAAAATATTTATTATTAATAGCGTGCGCAAATGTATATTTTCAAACTATATTTTTTTATGGAAGTATTAAATTTGAAATTAAATTTACTAAAATTAATCTGCAAAATTCAGGACAGAGTTTTATTTATTTTTTATTAATTTTTATTAATTTTTTATGTTGCGTGATATGCAAAAAGTTTGAGTAACAAAATACACATATTCAAGAGAAATGACATATATATTAAAATATATATAATACATACAATTATAAACAAAAAAAGTTTTTGAATTTGATTGCGAATTGTAGATTGTCTAAAACGAACTTGAAACTTCTTTTCAATTTCCTTGTTTTATTTTTCCAAATCCAATATCACGTAATATCGTGAAGAAAAAGTTCAGTCAATCATTCTATGTAATATTCATAAATTTGCGCAACCACCTCGCGTACGTTAATGCAAAAAGTTTCGTTGGAATCCCTGTAGCGAGATAAAGATAGAATATAGATGACGCAGATACGTGCGATTAATCTGGTGCAAATTTCCGGGTCGATTTTTCAATGAATCCCAGCAGCTGAATACATAAAGTCGAAATCACTTAAACTATACTAAGGCCACAGAAATTCAATCGACAGTGACGGACATATCCGTGTTCGACCGATAAATCACTGTTTGTAGATATTCCTGCAAAGTCCATAAATCGTAATCCTTCCATATTTGAATACGTACGTTCTCTCGATCTTGCGCGCATCAGCTGATATGAACAGTTATTATAAATGTGTGTTTCATATCTTTTTCTCCACTTATTGTAAGATAACGAAAATGTTTTTCTGTTTGTTCCCGCGTTTTCGATGGGCACAATGGTTTGAAAAAAAAAGAAAATATAGTAGAAAATAAAATCACGAAATATGAATAGTGAAGATTCCATATATATTTCAGATATTGACATACTGGAGTCTAGTAAATAGACGATGTCACAGATCGGTAAACAAAGGAAATTTTAAGTCTATTTACAGTTGGAAAAAAATTGAGCTTTCAATAAAAAGTTTGTTGAATTATGTTATTATTATTTATAATATATTAAATTGTGTAGTTATTTATTTTAAAGCATCTTGCTCGCTAATGGATTGTCTTCTTGTCATTGGATTGACTTTTGTCATACGTATTTTCTTTTGATAACAATTAAGTCTATACTTTTGTCGGATGATGTGTATCTCTCTCGAATACTCACATACATTTTTCCAAAGTAAGATCAATAGCTAGAACACATACATACCCTTAACATGTATCATCTCTTATTGTTAGTGTGCATCGCGGTTCTTTTTATAAAAACTTTTCAATGTTCGTTAATTACTCGATGTTAACGAGAATGTACATTTATTTTTCGAGTATTCATTTTTATTAATTAAAAACAAATCAGAGCGAAACAATCTTAATTTCAGTTACGTGCATGTAATGCTTTAAATTATATTTTTGTTTACGATCATGTACGGATATTTCTCTTGTGCAATAACAAAGACGATTTGATAGCTATAGAAAGAAAGAAAAAAGTAGGAGAGAAAATAATATCTTTATCTATATTTTTTTCCCTTTTCCTTTTCGCTATATTTATTGTTTTTTCAATTTACATTCCACTACACTTAAATCTCCCCGTTAATCCATGCAATTAGTTTTACAGGGAAAGAAATGAGAAAAAGAGTAAAAAGTATGTATATATCGATAAAAAATATAATAATAAGAACTCTTATGAAAACTACATTATTACATGATAGATTAATAATTCGCCTTTTAAAGATTAAATGGCTAAAAATAAAACTTATTTTTCTTTCATGTCATCATGATTACTTTCTTATGTTACAATAGTGTCTGAAAGCTTCAGACTATGTAGCGTAATATCGTTAATGTAAAGACTTTTTTTTCGCAACGTTTTTACAATTCAATCCGGTACGTCGACAACGTTAATAGCAACTATTCTCGCAAAGTCGCGGATAATATCGGGAATGTATTTCAAGATAAAAAAGAAGCATAATCCATATTCTTTGCAACTTCTGCGTAAAGTGAGGAGATAGATTTCCCTTTTCGGAAAAACATTTCGAAACAGGATAAACGAATGAAGAGTCATCCCGTAATATCCGAACTGAGAGCGGCTAAACAAACTTCACATACATGCGGAAAGAAACGAAGAAGAAACCGTATACGATTCCCTCCGATGTTCTCCATTATTCCTCACTTAGACGTAATATTTACAGTGCTGTTATATAGTTTCAGTATCCAGTTCTTTCTCGAAGCGATTTATTACATATATCTGATATCCGTTGAAACCAAGTTTCGTTTCCCTTTTAAGATATTAATTATTAACATGTTCATTATTTTCACTTTTGGCAATAATGTATTGCAAATAAAATAAATTTTTAATATTTAATGGGGGAAAAAGAGGAAAATGCAAACATACACAATAAATAATAAAGGAATTATAATACAATAATTCGCAAAAAATCTTAATATTTACAGTATCCAAAATATGAGATTGCGAAATCTTTTTAATACGATCGCGTGTATCCTCGGTCTCGTGTGATAAAGCAATTTACTCGCTGATTACGTTCATCGAGAACATTATCGATATTTAGAGCATGGATTACGGGCTCGATTTCACGAAAAATTTTACCATTAAATCTGTGTCTGTTTCCAGGTAGCGGCGAACCGTGGCTGAAAAGTGAAAAGTACGTTGAACTTGATGAAAAAGCTCAGCTACCCTGCGTCCTGAAATCACCGCAATGCGAGGGTTTGCACAGCATCAAATGGTACCGCGGACCCACGAGGATTTTCATTTTCAGCGAGGCCGCCGGAATTATACGTGGCAATAACGACATCGCTGCCAGGTAATTAAAGTATTACATTGACGTGAATGCATAATGCAAGCGAATTTTTCAGCTCGCGATTTAAGTTAATTAGGCAATTCTCTTGCATATTTTAAAGAAAGCTAAATTTCTCTCTTTCTCTCCCTTTCTCCAACCTCTCTCTCTCTCTCTCTCTTTCTCTCTCTTTCAATAATCGTTCGATACTTCACCTCTCTCTCTTTTCTCCAACCTCTCCCTCTCCCTCTTTCTCTCTCTTTCAATAATCATTCGATACTTCATCTATTGCAGTATAAATTTACTAAAACTTCAGTACAGATTATTACCAATATCACAATCAAAAACAAATAAATAAAATGTCTTCTTGAGTTTAAAATGTTAGCATATTAAAAAAATAATTTGTTTTCAATATATATTATTTATAGATCTTCGTATATAAGTTTTAAAACTTCTATAATTTTTATTTTTCATCATAATGCGGGTGCGCCAAAAATGAAATTTTACAGAAGTCTAAAAATTTTTCGGAGAATTATAATATTACTTTAACATTCCTGGCATTTCTATATTTTCTTCAAATGGCGTTAAAAGTATTATTATAGTAGTATTATTTACACAATTGAGTCACATGTTTTTTTTAACTATCTACGGTTTTATTTTCCATTTCCATCAGAATTCTAACTATCACAATTCAGATTCATCACCCTATAATTGCATTTTATGATTCGATATATCTGGAAAACTGAGTCTTCAATGTGTTAAACGAATATCTACTTGAATATTTAGAGCATGAAAATTTCCCCGATTGGTAATTATCAAAAACTCTAATTATTTCAATAGTATTCGATTAGCCCGACAGTTGATTCCATATAATTACTTTTGCACATTTGAAAATCATTGTAAATATTTTTCAATGCATTGTGTGCATGTTTTTAAACGTAAATAAATATGGATACAGCGCAAACAACTATAATGAAAAATTATATACATAATAAAAGAATTAATATAATTAAAATAATTAAAAATATTAGAATAATTTACAAAATTAAAATAATTCGCATTTGTATGAATATAATTGTATATATAATTTAATATTGATAAGCAGCTCTTCTATTATTCCAATTTTTATATAATCTTAAAAACACATATGAAAAGTTATTAGCGCTATAAAAATTATATTATTGAATTATTAAGAAAACTAATTTGATTAGTTATTCTTATTAATAATATTCTTATTAATATTCTTATTAATGTAACTCAATAAGACAATATATAATCTTAGAACTATATTTTTTATGTTTTTAAAATTATATATATTGCAAATTATATCGATAAATGTATTAATTTCATCAGCCAACTAGTCACATTTTTAGTCGCGAGTTGCTCCTTAAGTATTATAAATACACTTACTCCGAATATTATTGCCTGATCATAGAATACAAACTCAATTCTAAAATTATAACTCCTTAGAAATCTAATTCGATAAATGATAGATCGAAAATGATATTTCTTTACTATTTTTATTAATAATTAGGACAGACATATCGTTATTCTTAAATCCTTAAAATAATTAACAGCTAACGGAATATAAACTTTATTGGTATAGTGTATAATATCTTGGTTAAGTGTGTATATATAATATATATACATGATTTTTACTCTATATTTATTTTCTCAGGGACTGGTTAACATTACAAGAATTTTAAGAAATAAATATAATTCTACTTTCTTAATCAAATTAAATAAAAATTTGATTTGACCTTAAAACTTATTTATTAATAGGTTAATAAGTTAATTATTAATAGATTTTACTTTGTACTGAAATATTATATAATTATATATATATATATATATATATATATATATATATATATATGTATATAAAATCTATAAAGTAGAAAAAATTTAGGATACTCATTTAATCAAAGCGGTTTCTGTGCATACAAGCATGCATACTTAATTTAAAATGACACGATTAACATCGCCAATAGCGAATTTCAGATAAATGAAGTTCTCATTTAATTCAATTAGCATCCTTTAACAACCATTAGCGTTCTTTCTTTTCGGCTCGCGCACATAGTCTGGCTTAGCAACGTTGGGTCTAGATGTTATTTCGCTTTTTGGGAACAAAAGTATTAGCAGCAAAAAATAGTTTGTACACGAGAGAGAGAATAGAAGAATTCCTACAATATACAGTAGAAAATATTTGTTGTACACAGGTATATACATACGTACGTGACTGCGCTTTTTTGAGGACGAAAGTATTAGCAGTAACAATAGTTTTAACGCAGAGAGAGAATAGCAGAATTTCTACAATACATAGAGGAAGCATTCGGAATACACTATCACTCATTTTTCAGTATAACATGTTCGCTGTATATCTGTTGAAAAATAACTAGATCATGTGCAGTGATACGATGACAAAGAACAAACGCAGTTGATGAACGTACGAAAAACAATTTATGGAAATTTTTTGAGATATGTCATTCAATATTTTTTAAAATTTCGGTAAATGGGAAATTTTTGCTTGCTGATTTGTATTAATTTTCTTCGGAGAGACTTCTTTGTTGTGTTCCTTAATATAATAAATAAATAAATACATGTGTGTGTGTGTGTGTGTGTGTGTGTGAGCGCGCGCGCGCGCATATATAAATCTTTTTTTATTATAAAATAAAATATTTTATCGATATATGTCGGTATTTTATTTTATGCTGTTATATTCGAACTAATTCTAATTATAGTACAATACAGTTTAATATAATAATTTCACAAAAGCATTGCTTCTCTATTTACTAATAGTGAGCTCTTTGATACATTTTGCGGCAAAGATCTTCCATAGAAACGATGTCCTCTGTGACAAGCACTAAATTCCTGCTACAACATATTCCCTAGATCTCTCAAAGCCTTTAATGAAATGTTACAATAACAGTGATATTGTTAAACGCGATATTTGAATTGCAGTACGTTTTGTGTAATTGGAGGATATTTTGATTAAACTGTATTACTTGTAACTGTATTACTTGTAAATAAATAATATTGTGGGCTTTATCTATCCATTGTGTAATATTATGAATTAATATTAATGTTAAATTTTCATTTTCTATATATTACATTAAATATTAATTGTTATATTTTAATTAAAATATTAATATATGAGATACTAATTAATAAATTGCACATGTACAATTGCAATTCAATAACACAAGCCCACAAAAAAATATTTTGGCTCGTTGAATTCGAATCTGACATGATGGGGCAATTCTGACGTCAGATTCGAATTCAACGAGCCAAAATACATAAGACTAGCCTAGTCAGATCGCCAGCACAGGGTACTTTTTTTTGTAGGCCTGTGTAATCTTAATCTTTTTAACATGTGAGATATATATATTTATTATACAAATATAATAACAAAATTTATTTAATTAATTAATATTAAATAGTATAAAAAATTACATTTATTGCAATGATTATAAAAATTCTTTTTAAGCTCTAAATACTACTATTGATAAAATTGTAGCTATATATTATAGTTATTGATAATTAATTATTACTATTAATTATTACTATTAAAAGTTACAAAATAGATACTATGAAATTTATTAAAAAGTTCTTGCTTATAGTAGAACATTTATATATTCTTTCCTTTTTATCCGCGTGAATTTATTTTCCCTGTCAGATTAAAAGCAATTTGAGACAAAATCTATTTCTGCACGTCATTCGCGCGCGTAACTATAGCGTAATTTAATATCCTGTAATTATATTCGTGAATTATATGCACTCACACTGCGTCCGTTGTCGAAATGCGCTGTAGTACACGGTGGATACTAAAAATTTCCGTTTAATTGCAATACTACAATTTAATGAATATTCCAGTTAAGTGAAAGTGATTTGTAACATATCATATATAATAAGCTTACAATTTAAGATATGAAATCACAATACACAAAAAATGTGGGCACATATTCAAAAAGAAATAGGTTTTCGTATAGTACAGTAATATAATGATATCGCAAATTATATTAATAAGATACGTAATATTATGCTCTTATAAAATGTAATATATAATAATGTATAATATAATATATAATAATGTAATATATATAAATGTAATATATATATTCTTTCTTGAGATATTTTACGATGCGATGCTATTATCTAGATTAGTTGGAATCAGTATTTGGATCTCAACATTATATATGTCATACATGTGCAATTTAATTATATTATATATCACAAAGAATATATAACGTACTTTCGATAATATTACAAAAAACAAATATGATTGCATGATACTCTTGGAATTCTGAAACCATCCTTCTTTACATTTATTCATATGAAATCATTTCTAGCAGTTAATAGCAAATCATTGATGTTATGTGCATTTTAATTAAAGAGAAATTTTTATTAATGTGTCAAAAAATATATTGCATAGAATATGGATATATGAAAGAATCGTTTCAAATTGCACACGTATATTTAAAAAACATGTAACGTATATTTAAAAAAAACTTAATTAAGAAAGAGAGAGAGAAAGATATTTCTAAAATACTTATTGTGCTTCAATAACGTCGATAGTCTAATTATACCCGAACGCGCAAGGGGAATACAGTTTCATATGGCATAATTAGCGGTCCGACACATTGTCGTACCAACAATGCGCTAATGACGTCGTAAACGGTCCGTCGGTCAAACAACATGCCGAAATGTCGGTTAACTGTGATTGTCTGCGTTTCATATCAATGCAGAATTCGTCGCCTGCAAAAACAATGATTCGTCACACGAGATGCGCTTTATCTGAAAAACGAAAAACGGAAGCAGCAAACTGGTTGCATTGTAGTTGAAAATCACTAATCCGATTAAACAGAGAGAATATATATGTATGTATATTGTATATACATATATATGCATTTATATATATATAGAGTAAATGGCCATTTTTCCATCGTTGCTTTAAATAAATATTCCTGCATACTAAAAAATACGTACGATTAAAAAAAAGAAAAAATTTATATAAATGATTTCGATTGTTCTTCAGCAATGCTCATTCTTGTGAACACGTCTCTAATGGCGATTGTGAGCAATCAATTTGATGGAGATGTAAATTGTATCAAGTTCAATGGAGACGTTGAATGTATCGACTACTGTACTTATGTGTGTCTATGGGACACATTCAGCATCTATTGACAGAATATCGATCATGACCTATATACATTGACTGTGCATCTACCCGCCATTTATGCCATGAAATGACGAGACCTTCGACTGAGACGCGACTCGTTTACATTAACGGCTCACAGAAATGCAGTTGTGTTTGATTACAAGCATTCAGAAAATTTCCGTGTCACTGTATTAAAGATAGGCTTTCCATAAAGTATATTTCTCGTTGTGCGAATTATTTATACATTCAGTCATATTCAATGGCCATTGTATCTCGTTAATATTTTCAAAATGTAATATGCGTACAAAATATAATATGCATATATATACATATATGTATATATGTATATCGAGTATAGAACATGCATAGGTAATATGTAAACAGAATTGGACCGAATAGTGTGCATTATATGACGATAACATCACCACCTTATCGTCGTAAATGGATTACACTGCTCAGTTAGGATAACGAACAGATTAATCTCATTGATTGCCTGATTCATTATCCGGTGTTAATCGTAATTTGAGATTGACATTATGTAAGGTCATTATACTTGCGTCGGCATTAACCATCTATCCCGGCACAATATCTGCGCGATCGTCATTAATAAAGCGCACAAGCATTTGATGTATTCATGATCAATGAAAACTGTATATTATAATTATCAACACCATCACTAATTATGCAAAAATTTAAATTGACGTACTATAGCAAGCGAGATTTATGGAAAATTTATTCGCACCTTTATTACTCGCGATGTGTTTGTCTAAAATTAAAAATTCATTAAACAAATCACGTTTCTTCCTTTTTTATTACTGAACTCTTTTATTATATTTCCAGAATTATTCAATTTTTCGAGTTATATTGTATAAAATTATTCAAATATTTAAATGTTATTAAAATTTGACCAATAAAAAAGTAATTTCGAAAATTTTTTATTGATTTAATTTTCAAATTACTCATATATATTTCTTTGTTTAATGTTTTAAATCATTCTTATGAATACCGTTATGAATGTTTCAGGGCCGACATAGAATACTCTGCGAATTCATCGAAAACGCATCTGATAATACCCAACGTTCGACTGGAAGATGAGGGTCTTTACAAATGCGAAGCTACGTATCTTGCGGTCAACCGCGAATGCAACAACGTGCAGCACATTATCCTTAACATCACAAGTAAGCTGTATTACATTATGCAACGCTACCAGATTAACATTTTCAGAGTAAATTTACATTTTTATCAAATTGGACATGATTAATATATTGAAATTTATACTCTTAAAAATATGTAGAACCAAGTGATAGCATGTATGAACCGGCATGTTATACGAAGTATATAAAGATTTTGCGGATAATTCATAGAGAGAGTAATTCCGAAAGATTTACTGGATCTATTATAAGAAAACTTTTCGTCTAATGTTGTCGTAAATCACATTCTATATTTTTAACTGTATGATCTATGTTTGTTATATAATTTTTATAATATACTGACAATATTACAATAATGACATTGTCAGAAATAGCTGGTCATAAATAGCTTTATTCAAGAAATAAAAAAATATCTTTTTATACCGGGCATTTAAAAATGTTTATATTATTTTCATTTACATTATTTTTTACACCATGTTGCTTCTCTCGTATTATTCTCGTATTATTATCAGTAAATTTGATATTTCTTGAAAATAAGATTATGTGAGAAATTACAATCCATTTATGTCTAGCATATAATACATAAAAATATATTTACGATATTTTATATATTATATTGCAGCAAGATAAAAATAACATGTGCAAATCGCAACATTGCATAAGATTCGCATTCAATAAATCAAGCAATGTTTATTTCATACTAACGGTTACACGTGATCGTTCTCGCCAATATTTTAATTTTACACGATATTTCCGAACGATGGACAACTTGTTACAGATGGCCCTTTTACGGAATTGGCAAACATCGATGTGTTTCCTCTTGAAACATTTTAAAGATAGAAATATCATTTACATTTTGCAGCCAAACATCAACTTAGCTGTCGCAAAGTTGTCGCACTCAAGTTCTTCTCTTTTTCATTATATATACAACAATTATCCAAGTTAAAAAAAGAAAAAAAAACAAAATCACTACGATACCAGTCTAAATAATAAATGTAGCTATTTCTGTAGATTTCTATTATATGATAATTCGAGCAACTCTTATAATATTAAAATAAAAATAATCAAATTCACAGAGATGATGTTTGAAGTATTTTACAAATTTTGTCTTCGAAATACTCTTACTTATCTACGATTTGATTTTTTTTCGAATCAAGAGTTCTCCTCGTAATTTCAAATGTTTTTCTACGATTATCTGCGCCAAGTCAGTTTGTAACACGCGAGATCGAGAAGTGTAAAAGAGCACACTCGTATGCACTAAGTAGTTAATTTTCGCGGAAGCTGAGTAACCACGGTTTGCGATCTGGGTTAAATCCACGTCAAATTATACATCGATAGCTCAAGTTAGACCCGATGACTTCCTAACTCGACGAAGAGTTAATATCGACAAGTTGAGTAAAGTTAAACTCTCTCGTCGGCGTATAATCTCACGTACTTAGGATAAGTGGAATCATTTAGTTCAACATTCTTGATTTAACGTTTAATGTCAATGTTATAAACGCATTATTACAAACCGATTTAATGGCTAAAGAGGTATCACTGATGCGCAATATTATTTAATCAAGTTAATGCGTTGTAATTACTGTGGTCGCGGTTTACCTCTCTGCTAACTCATCTCGCATTAAATCTGTATGAAACTGAAATTCTTGGGAATTAAGAAAAGCCGTCCGAGGAGTCTCGGCAAAACGCGCAATTACGAAACGTTCAAATATTTAATATGCATACAATATGTATACCTTTCTCTGCAATGCAATATGCAAAATTTTTCGTGTGAAAATTCATTAAGATTTAAATATGAAAGTAGAGGAGGAAATAAAATGCACGTTTTACATATTTTTAGTTAAGATAATAATAATAACCAGAGCCAATAATAAGAAATATTTTGATTTGTAATGAATGTTTCTTATTAAAACGGATTTAAAAATAATGGGTAATAAAACAAAAAATATTATTTTTCTCAAATATCATTTGAGCTTTCCTTCCCGTAACTGCCAGAAGAGACATTAACGTCGGAAGAAGCATTAGTGGTTCCTAATTATTCCTCACGGAGTTATGGGGTTAATTGCGCTATTAAGTAACTCCGTAATAAGACTTTCATTTAAATTTTCGATAAGGGAAGCTCTCTTCCAAATTCATCAGAGAAAATCTTCCTTCTTCCAATAACGAGTTTTTTGAAACATCCTGTTTAAGAGAGAGAATTTTAGTATATAGTTATTTTATATTTTCTATCTCTCTCTTTCTCTTTCTTTTTCTCTTTGTAAATTTATGAAAAATAAGATAATTTCTTTGGAGTGATTTATTCAGTAAATGTAGCGATTTCAGCGAGCCGTCATCGCGACGTGAATAGAATGTATATGTTAGCTATTGTATATGTACGAGAGTCCAGCTACTGATCTGTCTTCTTCGCTGTCGTGCGCCATACCTCGTGATATCACGGCGAGTTAAACGAGTAGGGCGGAGAAGTTTTCAAGTATAATCGAGACATGGTACTTACATACACGCGCATAAGCAGTATTCGAAAACTTTCATTCCCTATTATGAAAGATAATATTCTGCTCGAAACTTCACACGTAAGAGTGTCTTGGCAACAATTAATTTTGAAGTCTATTTAAAAGGATAAGCATCCTGCATTTTCCCTAAAATTTTGCAATAGAAATCAAACAAAATTACGACTTCATTTATATCGATTGTCGATTTTATATTTCTCATTATTATTATTATTACATTGTTTACGTAACGATTGTAAAAATATACGAATAGGAAAAATGTGGCAGATTTCTTTAAAGAAAGAAACAAAGAAAGAGAAGGGGAGAGAAAAAAGAGAGAGAGAAAGGTTCATCCGCAATTTTTATCATGAAAATTTTTAAATAAGACCATTTCTTTCGTCATGTCTAGAGATTCTCTTCAAGTTTTTTATCGTTTTGATTGCACAGCCAATTGAAACACGAACGAAATACGAAAGAACTTTAGAAAAGTTGCTCTTGATGCATAAGTGATCGCGACCTCAATTTGTTGAACTTAAACCGCTACCTTACGACTTTATACATATATCGACCTGCTCTTCTGCAAGGACGTGCGTTGAATTCTGTCACAAAAATGTAACATCACTGCATTTTCGATTATTTCAAGACAAAATAAAGTGCTCTGATATCTCGGATATTGCACACAAAAAATATGCATTATCTTTTAACAAGTATTACAAGTTAGAAAAAATGGAAATATTTTCTAAACAAAATTAGCCTTGAGGAACATTACGTTTCTCTCTTTCTTCCCAATTTATTTTATTTTAATTAATAAAATATTTAAAACTTGAGTAATATTTAAGGATGAGATAATAAAACAGAAAAACAAACGACGTTTATATTTAAATAAGTTCTCGCTAAAAGAAAAAATCATAAATTTATCTAAAAATGATTTAGTTTAGTTATTCATAAATTTTTTACTTAACGATTGTCAAATCAGCAATTTGAGATTAATGAATAATTTTAATAAACATTTTTTAGTTTTCTTCGCGTGCAATGCAATTGTTTTACAATATGATCTCAATGATATAGCAGAGGAAAGAGAGAAATAAAAGGAAATTTAAAACAAGAAAAATACGTAACATTATTTTTCTTCACATAATTTCTGACAGCTATAACTATATTTTGTGTGGAATAGAGATAAAACTGCACAAGAATAAAACTATTTTAATTAATGATAGTAATAATACATTTCTATTGGCTTAAATATCCAACTGCGTAAAATAAATGGACATACATTTTTCATAAAAATTCATAAGTAAAATCCAGGATGTTATTTCATTTTTGTTATTTTTAAAAGAAAGCTAGGAATGTAAAATGTACTAGAAATAAATGTGAGATATTAAAAAATAGTTCTATTAGACAAATATAAGAAGTTTGGATATATACATATATGTATTCATAAAATATAATCAATATAATTTATATATTTACAATACGAAAGACGTCTCAAATATGAAAGTAATAAAAAAGCAATGATAAGAATAAAAGTGTTTGTTTGCGAAAATAAATTACATGGTGGAGTCTCAATCCGTCTTAATTCTGGAAAATTGATATTTATGAGCGACTAAATAGCGCCAATTTTGATAAAATGCGGATTATATGTCGTAGCCATTATGCCACGACGAGGTAGAGCAACATAAAAGTAGCTTGCGAGCTCTCCTGCGACAGGCGTCGACATTAATCTACATAGAGAAGCATAGGACGAGGCTGCGCTCGAAACGATATCGCATATTACATCCGTATTCGCAACGCCGGGGATTATCCCAACACCTCATTCCAACTAGAAACATTACACAGCAGATTTATCGTTAAATAGATAATGTTAAGAACATGCGCATTAGTGAAACTAGAGCAAAGATAACAACTTTTAGATTCGATCGTTTTTCAACATCGTCAAAATACGAATTTTATGAAAAATACAATTATTTTATTATACTCAGCAAAATGGAAAATTTTATATTATTATATTACAAAATTAATATAAATTATAGAAAAATAAGAGTAACTTTAATAAAATTAAAAATAATAACTCTTCGAAAAATGATAAATATACGTGTAGAATTAGCTTTATATAAATAGTATAAATTATAGAAAAATAAGAGTAACTTTAATAAAATTAAAAATAATAACTCTTCGAAAAATGATAAATATACGTGTAGAATTAGCTTTATCAATTCTTAAGAAAGAGAGAAAAGGTGCTATGTTTTTTGCATCACTTTGGATCGCTCTCTAGATTATCTATTATTACAAACTTGCTTTAAAGCTCTGCAAAACAGTTGCCGTGATATCATAAGATTTTGACACACTAGATGCAGTTTCGTACAGAAATCAGAGAGCTGAGAAATATATAGTAGATTCAATACCGTTTCTTCTTTCGTCTCATACGTGATCATTTTGCTGAGTGTCTTCTTCGCTGCGAAAAGCTACGAATGATTGCAATGTTTTCCTTTGAAATGTCGTCGAACTCGATCGTCACGAATACTCGAATTCAACATCGGTGAA